AAAAAAAAAGAAACCAAAGAATGAGTGACAGTTTGTTCAAAACACCATTTTGGCAGTGGCATGAGGGTGGTCATGAGCAAGATTGCAAAAAAGTGGAGCAGGCATTTTTGCTGTTTTTGCAAAGGATTCCATAGCTGTAGACCCACAGTGAAGTCATTGTGCCAGATTCAGGCAACACAACATCCCGTCATGGACAAGACAAGCCATGATTCCCGCGCTGGCTTGTTTGTGAACAGTGAGCCAATTTGCAGAAACCATCTTGGTTTGGGTGCGCTGATAATTCACCATGGGCATTTACCCGTGGTAAGTGATAATGGTTGTGTGAAACAGGTTTCCTTGTCCTTCTCACCAGGTATCTCCTCACTTTCTCAGTCCCACTGGTATCTTTGTAGTCTGTCCATCATGAGTCAGCCGTCTCCATGTGCCCTGGTCAGGGGCTGCCCTCTCAATACCATGGTGCTTCTAAGCCCAGCAGTCCCAGTCCCAGTCCCAGCCTCCCCATGCACCCTGTGTCACTTTACTTATTTAAAATATTTTTGGCTGCCTTTCACCAAACCTTCTTCTTTGTGGTCTCTGTGCAATCACACTTGGGGGCTTTGCCGCAGAGCACCCTTTCTCACCTAAGCAGGTACCGACAAGATCTGCCAAGTCAGCTTATTCATGAACCAACGTCACTGTTTTTGTTTTTTTCCTCCTGCCTTCTCTTGGGTAGTTTTGCCTACTGATTTGTATTTTCACTGTTAACCCCGTGTCTCTCGGATATAATATCCAGCAGTACCTTCACATTAGTATCCTCTTCCTTGGTGGTATTTATGAGTGATTTCCCTGATGCTGCTCAATGGATGCAGAGAACAGGCCCTGGTTTTAATGGTGCTTCTGGTCTTGGGCAGGAGTCGTGAAGAGGAGGACGCTATGGAGCAAGCTCGCCGAGTTCACGAAGAAGTCCGGCGGCGCCAGGAGCAGCAGCAGCAGCAGCAGCCACAGCATCATCAGCCGCCACCACAGCCACCGCCGCCACAGCAGCAGCCGCCACAGCCACCCGTGTCAGCCACAGCCTCTGCTCCCCAGGCACAGAGCTCTCAACCACAGGCTTCTCAGTCTGTGCTGGACCAACAGAGAGAAATGCTCAGAAAACGAGAGCAGGAGCGAAGGCGCAGGGAGGCAGTAAGTGAGGGAGAGCTGTGCTATCCGGGGTTGGATGAGACACTATTTGGAGAGCAAGCAAAACACTTGCAGGCTCACTTTGTGGTGGAATGTTGCGTTTATTCGCTGTCTGCCAGGAATTTTCAGGCTTTTTCAGTGTGAGCCCAAGAAACTTTTTTCCTGAATAAAGTAAGGACTGTGCAGCAAATCAGTAATAAGATTTATTTGTATAGTAAATCTAGATCGCTTAACATTGTGGAAAGAGAAGGTAATTTTTTAGCCAAAGAAGAACCATTGTGAACCAAGACAGAGAGCACTGAGGTAGCCCTCCAAAATCCAGGTGTAAAGAACATGATCTTTAAAAGTGTGCCATTTTTTTCTTCACTTTCTGACCTTTTCTCCTCTGAATTTCTACCTTTTTCCTTTCCCACCATTTTCTTACTAATCTCCTTTTAATAGTTCCTTGGAGCTGGATGCCCATGGGATGTCTGCAGGCTTACACTTGCCACTCAGTCACTGAAGTTTAACCCAATCAGTGCATAAAAACATTGACCCTCAAACATGAACATTTCTTTTCCCCACTTTCTCTTTCATACTCAACCAGCTGTTCACAATCACAGACTTCTTGTAAGTACAATCACATGCTCCTCCTCTCTCCTACATCCCTCAGTCTCTCTCCCTTTTCTCTCCAATATATGCACAGTCTAAGTATCACAAGTGTCTGATATCTTCTGCCACCTTATTCTTTACTGGTCAGTTTGTAATGCAGCAAGTGTTTTGTTTTGTTGCGTAGCTCAAGTGTGTATAGCACAGAAAAGAATGTTGCTACCTGCTTGCCTCCCATTCCCTGGTATGATGTCCTCAGCACACCCCCAGCACAACTGTGCTAGTCCCAGGGATCTTAGAGCTGAGAGTTCTGCCTTTGTGGGAGGGACATGTCGCTGGCCAGGAATGGGGAGTGCAGCGGAAAGCTCTGTCTGACCACCCTACGGAAGTAGCAAGCTATGATGACTGTTGTATTCCTTTCTCTTCTTCTCTCCAGATGGCAGCTACCATTGACATGAATTTCCAGAGTGATCTGTTGGCAATATTTGAAGAGAATCTTTTCTAATAGTGCACCTGGGTTTCTTCGCCTGACTCCTTAATTTCCCGGCAAATCTTTGACTCTCCATAGTGTTGTTGGCGGCTGGGAGGAGAGCATTCCTGCAGCCTTTCTGCATGTGTGACAGTTGCGGCCTCAGAAGGATCAGCAGAGCCTGCCTTACGATTTGACTTTCTTCCCCACCCGCCACCCCTGCCTCACTAAAGAAAGAGAGACCAAGTCAAGCCAACTCTGTACTAGGTTTGAGTCGGTGGATGTGCAGCTGCTGGGAAGGGTGCCCCCTGATCACTTGATATTCTCTATGCCAAACTTACTTGCAGTATATCCAGGACTTTATGCTGTTCACCCTTTTTCTATTCAAAAGAGTTCTGAGATACAGAATGTCTTTGACTCGGCAATGCTGTGTGCTGGCAGCACAAGACGCTCTGCATTGAGAGGTTATGTACAGGAAGAGACCCTGCCCGGGCTTCATCAGGGAAGACACACAAGCTGTTCTGGGTCCTTTCGTCACTGGCTTTGCCTTTAACTAAACTTCCCACAAGCCTTTAGCTGGGAGCCATTCTCTGTAAGTGTTCGCTTGTGAAAAAGGGAATAATTTAGTGGAGGTGTCAAGTGTAATTGGCCATTTGAGTGAGGTTTTGTTTTAGCATTGTGTGGAGATCCAGGAATCTGAGCTAGACTACCAACCAAAGTCAGTTTCTTTCAATCTGTTTATTTTCCTCCAGGCAGTTGCCTCTGCTCAACTCTTGACTGGGTATTCTTGTCTCTTCATTACAGAGTGGAGTGGAGTGGGGAAAACATTAGCACCAGGGGAAACTCCCACCCTATCAATAGTGTTGGACTATGGCTGTATTGTATAGTGAATATAGTTGGCATATATTTGTTTGAGTTTTACAGGTGAGCTCACCAAACTCTGTAAAGACACTGCTTATATTTTGCTCAGTTCCAGACTTTTAGTCTATATTTTTAACTGTAATACCAGAAAGCGACATTTTGGGTTTTTAAATGTCACGGAGTCTGTTAAAATTAGTTTTTATACAGCAGGGGAGCAGCTCCAGAGGGAGGTGGAGAGTGGCCTTGGATCGGCAGGAAGGAAGACCTGCTCCTGTTTTCAGTTGAGTTCTCTCACACTAGCAGTGACCATTTTCCCAGCACCTTTAGTGTGTTCTTTTCATTTTACTCTTTGAATTGTTCCAAGTTTATGTGCCATAAATACCCACTATACAGTACAATACTGGTGTGTCAGTATTGGCCAATCTCTGGAGTAATTAATTGGTTTTACTTTAATACGGTGAATATGCATTTGGTCTGTACTGATCATGGAATAAACTCATCTCTTTTTTTTTAAAGTTGGTGTCGTACTGACATTTCTTTTAAATCCTGTTTGTGGTAAAACAACTTTAAGGGGGGAAGGTTGCAGAGGACAGCTTGTCCCTCTCATCTCTCTTACTCTAGAGTGAAGGGAGTTCTCAAGCTCCAATTTGCAGGGTTCCCATCTTGCCAGTTTAGGGAAGACTTGCCTGGAAGCATCAGCACTAAAGCAAAAGAACTCCATAGAAACAGTAGGAAGACGAAATAAGCAGTAGCTACAGCCTTGTCAGGAGAGGCTTAAACCGTTTCACACTGTAGCACTAAACCAAAAGTAGGGGAAGGGCACATAGCGATTATTCGCAGTCACTCTTGTTCCCACTGTGGGCAAATCTCAGAGCACGATACCACTTCCATCAGTAAAAATTGGCCCATGTCTGCTGGAATGGGACAGCCAGAGAGAGATTTGTGTCAGTCCTTATGCACCATGCTCCCCCAAGCCTTGACAAGTTCCCTGTTGTCAGTGAAAGGTTTTAAGTATGGCTACCTGAGATGTGCAATATCAGGGACGTTTGGACTGGATGCATCTGATTTCATGAGAATCGAGTGAAAGCAAAGGAAAAAATAGACAGCATTTTACTTTCCTGTACTCTTGGTCCCAACAACTGTTCTAACAGGAATGGGTAGCCATAAAATTGCACAGCTCCACACTTGCAAGTTAGCTCTTGTGTTTCTTCTTCTCTTGGCAACATGAGACTGTTCTGGTATAAATTGTCCTTGGTCTGGGTCATTGGGGTTGGGCTATCCAAGCCCTCCCTGACTAACTGCTGTAGAGGAGGCTGTCACTCTGTGTAAACACCTCTACCCAACCTCACTTCTGCACACGGAAAGCCAAGAACATCCTTATTGTTCCACACAACAAAAAGTTCGGAAAGACACTTCATAGGTTGTTGTCATCTCTTCTCTTCACTCTCATAAGGTTAGAATAATAAAGATGCTGTCTGTCCAACTAGCTGTAGCCGGCCCAATATGGATTAAACTCAACCTTGTGTTAAGAAATAAATATATATATATATATCATGAAGAGGTCAGAGTCCAGAATGACCCAAATATTGTAGCTATTTGTGAAAGGCTACCTCTAGGCCTGGAAAAGACTGCAGGACTCATATGATTATATATAGAGTATTGGGAGGAGTGGGAAACAGAACACCTAGGAAGCCCGCAGTTGCCTGCAATTAGTATTGTCCTCACTTCTTGCAGTCCTCTTCAACATCCCTCTCAGGTCTTCATCAGCAGGTGTTGTAAAGTGGCTTGCTGCACGTTGCCAAGACCAAGCTATAGGCCGCCACTGCAAAATGTGACAAACCTGTTTTCCAATCCCAGTCTAACTCTGGACTTGGCCTTCTGATGGAATTTCTATGCCCTTAATTAGTCAGAGGCACATGGTCACCTACTGGTATCAGTAACTTGGTACAGTAGCCATGTACTGAAGAGGGCAGATTGAATTTAAGGGCCAGTGTTACTTTGGCATTCTTGTTACGAGCCACTGATCTTCATGCTGAATTTTTACCTAAAGGTGCCTTTTAACTCTACATCCTTAGATCTCTGTGCTTTTCTGTGTAGAAGAGCAGATGGTTTGGGTTCTTTGCAGGATTGAAGGGGAGGCAGGGGGAGCAATGATTCCAAAATAATGTCTCTGAAGGGTTTTTGAGAGTCATTTTGCTGAAAGGATGTGCAAGTAGGTGGTGGCCAATCCTGTCTACTACTACTGCTACTACTACGAGTTGTTAAGTAAAATCTTGGCCGTGCTCACCTTCTTCTTCCTGGTCAGTGCCAGTCTTCAGGCAGCCACGGGATGCTTGCACATTATCTCAAAGCCCAGTAAATTTGTATCTGGAGTGGCCTGGATTTGTGGCCAGTAACTGGCTTTAGCTTTAAAATGCAGCAGTGTGGTCTGAAGGAAGTTCCTAAGGACAGCACTCAGACTCCAGTCACTGCATGCTTGGGAACATGTAGCTGTTCTTTTTTGGACCAACAAAAAGGTAGTCACAGTACGCTGGATTGTACACAAAAACTATCTTCCACCCTTTAACTGCTGATGTGTGGACAGTCTTGCTTCAGAATGCATCCATTGTTGGATCTCCAGCTCACAGATTCTTTGAGAAGGCTTCATTGATGAACTTGCCCTTGGTTTTAAATTGTATCCCAGGAACCGTCAGGAAAAAGGGGCTCCTATAACTATGGCTGTGGCTCATGCTTAAGCAGAAAGAACCCCTTCCAGCCCCTTCTCTTCCCTGTGCCACTGGCGCACCTTCTTTACCACGGATTCATTAACTGGCCTTAATCTTCTCTTCTTAGCTCTTGTGCAAATCCTTGACAGGGAAGTAGGAACATTGGCTTCTCCTCTGGACATGTTCTGATCCTTCATTTCCATTGCCAGTCCTTTCTCACAGTATTCCTTGCCCCCATGTCCCCCTTCCCCGCCCCCACCACCCCTTTTACGAAGCACTTTGGATGATCATCTCCCTCCTTTAATTTTAAGCTCAGGGTTTTCGGGGTACTTTTAAGTGCACATCCGCTGTAAGAGTTGATCACACATGAGCTCATCGTAATTGTACATAATAAAACCGCACCATACTGACAGAAATAAAGGCATAACAAATGGAGATGCTGGAACTTCTACCAAGAGAGCACCCTCGGTTGTAAAATTTTAAAAATATATTATTTATATGTATGCAAAGAACAACACCCCCTGTATCTAGTCAGTAGTGAGGTTAGTCCTTTTTTAATGTTTAACCCTCTTTTTCCATTTGACATTTGCCAACCTCGTCAGTAGTTGAGAGTTCCAAGTAGTGGTAGCGTTTTTTAGATTGGTGGCTTACTCAGCTGTCTTGTTCTTCTTTGACTCACTTCTATCTTTTGCAACTTCTCAGAATGTTTACAGGCTTGCACCTATCGGATTTGATTTTTTTAAAAGCTATACTTGGTCATTTTATTTTTACACATTTCTGAATGATGAACATAGAGTGGTATCGTTAGTTGAAGACATGATTCATTTTTTTCTGCCAAAGGTATTTTTTTGCTATTCTTGTGTTTTATTTTCTGTTTTTACAAGATGTTGTGTTTATAATTTGGTTGTCATTCTGACTGAGACATATTTAATTTCCCTTTCTTCCCCCACCCCATGTATGATTTTAACAATTACAGACATTAGATGTAGGAGTCTAGCCTAAATGATGTAATCTTGGTTATTTCTTCTCTCCCTTCTCAAGTCCTGTACAAATGAATAAGAGAAATGTACAATCCCACTGTACTTAATGCACGGAACGCTTGGCAAATAATTATGTCAGTGAATTTGAAACTTGTATTAAACACTTTAGACATTTGTAGAAGGGAATTCATAGAGTTTTCACTTATATACTAAAGGTTTTTTGTGCAGTTCTCATTGCAAAAATAAACATTTGTACTGAATATATGCACTAACTTTTTTCTTTGATTGTTCACTCATGTGCAGGGATGCTTGGCAAAGGTTGTGTTGAATGATGGGTCCCAGCACATCCACCCTTTCCTAAAAGCACCCCCAAAAGAACAGAAACAGTTGTTGCCACAACCAAAGCCATGCTGGGCATTTTCCAAAGATTTCATGACTGCTCCACACCAAATGCTGCCCCAAGGAGCTTATGCCAGGGCCCCACGCCCCTCCAGAGCCTCCCAGGACGGGCACCTTACCTGGTACCATGCGCAGCACCTTCTGCCACTTGGGCCCCTTCAGCTTCCTCTATGCCTCTCCCTCCCATGAAGCAACTTGCCCACAGCAGCAGTCCACTGTTATGCCACTGCTGCCACTTGGTAAGCACACATGCTCGTGCCAGGCCTGCCCAAAGAAACAGGCACCCCAAGTGGGTATAAAACAAAAGTACATTCCAGTATGCTCAAGTTACTCTACAGAAAAGCCCCCCTTGCCCACTGGATGCTATCTTCTTTTAAGACAGGGAAGGGGGAGTGCCAGCCTACGGAATAAAATCAGCCCACCAGGCCTCTGCAGCTGGACCAGGAAGGCTTCTAGTGAGGCCACCAGGCAAACTCAGTTTCCTAGAGAGACATTGCTGTGTTTGGTGCTGGTGTTTGGAGAAGATCAGTAGGAGTAATGGAACACTAAAGGAAGGGATGTTGGTTTAAGTGGAGGTCGTGTTTTAATGACTGCTTTATTATTTTTTTTCCTGTGGGTCGATGGCTTCCCACCCTGACCTAGCAATTACCTTACACCTATAATGCACCGTTGTACGTGTTGGAGTGGCTTAATGTTAGGACTTGCCACCCATTCATCTTGATAATTGTGATAGAACTGTCCATGACTGAAACAAACACGTCTGGTATTTAATGGGCAGGAAGGGTATACCCTGATGCAGGCATGTCCGAGGCTGGATCCAATCAAAAGCCTGTTTATTCAGTAAATGTTGTTAGTCCCAAAGTCGTGTCCGACCCATTGTGACCCCATGGACAACATTCCTCCAGGTCTTCCTGTCCTCCACCATCCCCTGGAGTCCACTCAAGCTCACACCAACTGCCTCAGTGACTCCATCTAACCACATCATTCTCTGCCATCCCTCCTTCTTTTGCCATCTATTGTTCCCAGCATTAGGCTCTTCCCCAGGGAGTCCTTCCTTCTCATTAGGTGGCCAAAGTATTTGAGTTTCATCTTCAATTCAGTAAATAGCCGTAGTTAAAACATAATCACCTGGGAGCAGAAATGCCCCCCACTACAGCTTTGCCTTTGATTTTCCAGCAATCAGCCAAGAAAAACAAGTTAGAAAACCTATTTGGGGATGGGGTTTGATTGGCTGTTCTAGATCAGAGTATGGTGGACTATGTGTATATCAAATGTCAACTTTATCTGAAAGGAATTTTGAGCATTGCAGAGCTCAACTTGAAACCAAGGCAGGTATGTAATATATTTCCTCATGAATTAGAGGTTATTTATAGGATTAAGATAAGATCAGAATTAAGCAAGTGGGCTCCATTTCCTGTTACTCAGTTCAGCAGTGGGAGGAAGTGTATCCTGATCATTTCCATCAACAGACCCTAACCTTCATTTTAAGTATAAAGAAACACAGGCAGGGAGTTCTCCAGATGCCAAGTAGAAAACTTTTAAAGGAACTTTTAACCTCAGCTTTATAAATCTTTTAAAATCTACTTCTATTGCTTCAACAGAATAGACACCAGGTTGGGAAAGGTCAGATCAGGTGCCTCCCTGAGCCAATGAATGCCACCATCCATGGTGAGCTATTTCTAGAAAAGTACACAGCCTATATTCTTCAGAGGTGTAGACTATGAAGGAAATAAACTCAAGTGTGCTTTTAAAGTGGCCCTGATACTGCAAAATATTTCATCCGTTCCACTCCCTTTCAGCAGATTGTATTACTAATTCTTGTCAAGCAGCAGGCACTCTGGGAGGGGGCACTGCTCATTCCTGTTGCCCCTGGCTCTTTCTGCTGAGTTGCTCTAGAGCAGCGGTCCCCAGCCTTTTTGGCACCAGGGACTGGTTTCCTGGAAGACAATTTTTCCATGGATCAGATGGCGGTGGTGGTTTTGGGATGATTCAAGTGCATTACATCTATTGTGCACTTTATTTCTATTATTACATTGTAATATACAATGAAATAATCATACAACTCACTGCCTCATCTCCACCTCAGATCATCAGGCATTAGATTCTCATAAGGAGCGTGCAACCCAGACCCCTTGGATGCGCAGTTTGCAGTCGGATTCGTGCTCTCATAGGAAACACTGGGAAAAATGGATGGGCCCACCCCGCCCCCTCACCTCAATCCGCCTGCTCCCATTGGTCTAAGGCTCAGTCAGTCCACCTTTTTTATTGGAGTGCCTGCCCCTTGCCCAAGCCACATCCACATGTGCCAACCATACTGTTGGTTGAGGGGCAGCTCACATTGTCATCTCACTGGGGAAACAAAGTGTCTGTCAGAGGCACTTTAGCCCATTCGAAAGAGATTGGATTCATTTGGTCAGAGCACTCTTGCCCTGCCTCCTCCTCTTGCCCCGTGGCAGTCCGTGAGTGAAAGGAGCAGAATTGTGGAGGTCATGCCCACAGATGAAGCTTTGCTCGTCCGCTGCTCTCCTCCTGCTGTGCAGCCTGGTTCCTAATCGGCTGTGGACCGGTACCAGTCTGCAGCCCGGGGGTTGGAGACCCCTGCTCTAGAGCACACATGCAGAATCTCTTTCAGCCCGAGGGCCAAATTCCATCTTGGAGAAACTCTGGGAGGGGGCACATTTCAGTGGTGATGGGCCAAAAGCAAATGTGGGTGACCAAAAACCCAAAACATCAGCATATTTTAACTTAAGACTCTTACTGCTGAAAACTAAGTGCTGGGGGAGGTATTTCACAGTTGTGGGGGGGACCTGCAGAAAAAACCACCCAATCATCATGGTCAGCAGAAAGGGGGTGAGGCTTTGGCCTTCTGGATTTGGCCCGAGAGTCTGAGGTTCTGCATCCCTGCCCCAGACGATAGTCCTGCTCCATTCTCATGTACCGCAGTTGGCCCCTTTTCAGCATTCAGCCTGAAAAGAGCCCTCTTGTCCTCTAATAAGTTGTATTAATCAATATTATTCACCATTGGTTTAATTTCTTGTAAACTACCCAGAACCTATGGGAATGGGATGGTATATAAATATTAAGATATAAATAAATCCCATGGCGGAGCAGCCCATAGCCAACCATGGTCTTTTCACAAGGGAAATTAGAACATCAGGGGAAATGCTGCAGTTTACAAAAGGGGTTACTGCAATATTTCAGGAGGTGTTTCCAGATGAAGCTTTTGTTGTGCCAACAACCTTCCCCATTTATGGTGGCAGGCTTCCGTTTGTAACTTTACCGTGTTTCGTCACTAGAGCATCTTTCTTTTTCCACAAAAGCAAAACAAAGAACACCGATGAAGAGATAGCACACTTACACACTGCCTTTTAATAGGTTGCACGGGGAACCCTCTGTCCCGGAAGCAACACCAAAGCCAGACAGCAGAAGTCACGCTGCTGGGAGAGAAACCAGCACCCGCCGGCTTCAAACGACCTCTTCCCACGTGACTCCAGGCACTGGCCTGCGGCAAAGAGCAAACGAGTCTTTTGCCATCAACCTGGCGATGTTCGGAGTTGCTCTCGGGAAAGCAGGTGCCTCGCCCCTCGCTGGAACACGAGGGCTGAAGCAGAAACCATAATCTCACCCGGCTGGTCTCGAACGGAGTCGATTATTCCGTACTCGTGCTCCACTAGTGGCACGCTGTTCGAAGGACAGCACAGGGTGGCAGCCATGAGTGTGGGCTGAGGAACTCAGCCGGCGAACTCTCTTTTGCCAGTGCAAAGCCAAGAGCCATTTATCTACCCGGGTGCGCTCATTCTCCCCGAGCGTCCAGTACTGGGGAGTTTCCTGGGCCTCAAGCATGCGGAGAAGAAAGCGCGGAGAAGATGCTACCCTCCGCCTCCTCTCGCCAGCACGCAGATCCGCAGGAGGGGGGCCCTCCCTCGGACGAGAGCGCCCCCGACCGCTCTGAGCGCTCCCTTCGGCTCAGTCGCGCACGCAACTCCCGAGCAAGCGGCGCGGGAGCAACGAGCGCCCGCCAGACTGCCGGCCGCGACACTTGGTGCCCCTCGCCCCAGGTCCCGTCGCGGCCGCGTCCTCGTCCTCCAGCGCGCCCCTTCGCAGCTGGCGGGGAAGCGGCGGCGCGTCCTCCCCGCCAGAAAGGCGTGGCCGGCCGTGCTCTTTGCTCTGGCCCGGGGAGGGGGCGGAGCCCTGCCAAGGCCGCCGCGAGTCGGGAGGTCCGGCGAGTCGGACAGCGGGAGGCACCCGGTTTTTCCCGCCCCTTCCTATCCACCTATTTATGTTCGGGTCGCTGAAGGCGGACAGATTCTTCCCGAGCCTTTGCTGGATGCGCGACGGCCGCGAGGGGCGGCGCTGGCTTGCTAGATCGGAACAGGCAGAGGCGAGTGGGCTGCACGCCGGCCAGAGGGAGCGTTTGAGGCCAGGTGAGAACTGGGCGGCGAATGGGGGGGGGCGGGGGGGACTAGCCGAAAATCTCCGGCGAGTGGGGGATCCGGGTCCCCTCCGACCACGTTTTGCGAGCGAAATGTTTGGCATGGGCCTTGGCATGGGCCTTTGGCAAGCGAGCGGGCCGCCTCCGGCTCCTGATCTGCTGAGGTGATAGGAGCTCGAGCTTCAGCAGCTTCCTGGAAGGCAACCGAGATGCATAAATAGCCAGCCGCCTTAGGAGCCATCATGCACCTCATAGATCGGGCAGATTTTAAGGTTTGAGAAGCGCACCACCCCTGTCTCCAAGGAAACAGAATTGGTGGCAGATCTGAGCACAGCATTTTGGAAAGGTCACCCCTCAGAACATGTATGGAAAGGCTCAGTAACCTGTGCTCCTGTGGCAGGACTCTGTCTTGTGACGTGCCTGGATCTGTGTCTCCCAACTTCAAGCAGGCACGTGTAGCCTCATGGATGGACACTGTGAATGACTCTGAGCCTGTCTCCCTTTGTGCAGACCTGCCCCGCCCCGCCCCACCTCAGTTATGGCATCCCCAGCTTTTGTGCAGGATTCCCTTCCTTCCACTTTCTAGCCTGGAGGAGCTGTCAGCCTCAAAAGAAAGCATTTGAATCTTCCCGCAGCGGAGGAGGATCTTTGTGGCCTGGCATGAGCTTAGAAACATGGGTGCAGATTCCTGGCTCCTGTGCAGCTGTCACCTCTCTGTGAACCTTGTGGCACTTAGCCACAGGGAGACAAAAATCCTACAGTGTTTGAGAGGTGCCTGGATAGCGGCAGGCTGAAGTGCGCGTGGGTTGCTGTGTGGCTGGTGTGTGTGTGGGTAGAAGCTGGGTGATTCCTCGTAAGCCCAGCACGCCTGAAAAGAACATGCTTCCATTGCAGGCTTGAAAGAGAACGGGACAGGATGGTGTCTCTCTATCGCTCCTTGCTGGTCCCCACTCGCCTGGTGCTGAAGGTCTCCGATGCTCTAACTTGGCTGGTCGTGTACAGCGTCGCTTGCCTTGCTGCAGTTCGCTACAGCTGCTGGGCGCTCTGGTTGGTGCTGAGGAAGGGCCCCAGCCAGGTGTTCCGCAGGAGGCAGCGGTACACACCTCCAAGCTGCCTCACAGATTCTAGTTATGGGGAGCAACGATTTCTGACACTCAAGGTGAGCACGCTCAAGTACAGGGAAAGCCCCTCCGACACCCTCCTGGTTAGTGGCTCACAGGCAACGACCGAAATCAGAAGGGAAGGCAAGACCATGGGCTCCACTCTCATGTGTTGCTGGTATATTTGAAAGGTTGGGAGGAACAGAGGCAGCTACCCAGGAGCAGGTCACACGTTTAGTCCATCTAGGCTGCTGTTGTGGCTTGCCAGGAAATCAGGTGGGGGTCTTTCACACAGTACCTGCCACAGGGTCCTTCTAAAATTTAAATCTAAAATTAAAATTTAGAATCTAAATGGAGATACCTGTGACTGAAGCTGAGACATTGTTGTCAATATGCACTGTACTGATGCTTGCGCCACTTCCTGCATTTCGAAAATATGCCAGAGGGCTTCTGCATGCCAAGCATATTCTCTGTCACTGAGTTCTGATCCCTCTCCCAGGGAGAGGTGCCTTGAATTGCTTGCACATAATGATTGTATTCTTCTGCCTTTGGGGCCTCAAGAAGTCTGGGCTGCGTCTCCACTATGTTCAGGCTGGCCAGGAAGGGGCACGGCTGATGCTCCTCTTGCACGGATATCCCCAGAACTGGTAAGCTTGGCTTTGGCATGTGGAAGTCTGAAGGGTGGGTTGAGCTGATGCCTGTGTACTCATGCAGCCAGTGTCAAGACACAGTCTATCTGTTGTCTAGTGTGGCAGCAGACTGTTCTGGGGGCAGGTATATTGCAAAGCCTGGAGTAGGTTTAGCTCCCCAAAGGAAAGGAGCTGGAGGTGGTGAGGATACTCACCTGCATGGTATTTGGCTCCTATGATCCATGGTGAATGATTCTGATGCCTTCCTCATTAAACCATAATTATATACATAGTATCCATTTAGTTTCGGTCATCTGTTCAGTGGAACACAAAAGCAGTGTGGCTCCATACCAGAAGAATAACCATATTAGTGAAGGAAGGACAAATGTGGGGAGAGGTCAGATTAAATCAAGGAGATGTTTGGTGAGAGATTCTTGATATTGAAGAGTGAAGGGAAAAGGGGCAAACAGACTCAAATGCCCTGAACATTTGCTATCAGGGAAGCCCTTCACTGTACTTTAACTTCCTTCTTCATGTAATAAACCAGGTTTACATGGCGCCATCAACTGAAGGAGTTTAAGAAAGCATTTAAGGTTGTGGCACTTGATTTGCGAGGCTATGGTTTTTCTGATGCTCCAGAAGGCTGTAGGAAGTATAAGAGAGATTTGCTGGTTGAAGATATACGAGGGGTTGTTGAAGCCCTCGGCGCCACTGAGCAGGCTGGTGAGTAGTTATCTCGGGAGACGAGCCCAGTGGCAGTCATACTGGGGCTTGGTAGTTACTAAGGCCTCTTGGTCTTGTTAATGTTTCAAAAGCATTGGATGGGTCCTGAGTGGGACTCTGTGAGCACGCCAGTGTATAAGTTTGGGAAATGGTCTAGCAGACGGGCAGGTGCAGGTCTACGTTTTCTTTGTTCTGCTAATTGCCTTTTTTGTTCATAGGGCCTGCTAAGTGCATCCTGGGAGGCCATGACTGGGGTGGCGTGATTGCCTCAGAATTTGCTGCTACTTACCCCAACATGGTGGAGAAGCTGATGCTCCTGAACACTGCCCCAGCACATGTCTTGCTAGGTATGGTTAAGGCACTCCTGCGCTCCCAGTGGTGGTGTCCGATTGTTGGCACCCTTTGGCTCCCAGTAGAATTGGGGAAGGGAGGGAAGAGCTCGACCGCTGGGTGCTCCCGGTCAGCAGTTGTTGGCCACTGAGGGTCTTGAGCCAAAGCTGGCTATTGCGTTTCCACTGCAGCTCTTTTTGGGGAAGCAGCTTTTCTGCCCTGGCCAGGTACCTGGTCCCAGCACCAAAGCACAACGTGACTGGGAGGGCAGCATCGAGAGGGTTGCTCACATCTGCTTGTTTTTGGCAGCTGACTCAGATATGAGGGGACAACCATAATGGAGACTTTCCTCCTCTTGCTTTTGAATATTTTTTTTTAAACACTAAGCTTTTTTCCTATACTTTCATCATAAATTTATGTTCCCAGAGTGGCTAACAAGGTAGAAAATCTCACTTTGATTATGGTGGGAAAACAATCATTCTATACACAGCAAACTAAAAGGGGAAAGAGCAACAATCCATTCAAGTAAGAAAATAAAGGAAGCAAACTAAAAAAGCCAGAATCCATTGATACCAGTGGGCATAACACTGCACATATCTATCTACTCAGAAGCAGGTCCCAGTGACTTTCAATGGGACTTTCACTCAAGTAAGTAGAACTTACTTAGAACTCAGCATTCTAAGCTGTGAATGCTAACATTATCAGCCCTTTAAAATCCTGGACAAAGGAAAATGCATTTGCCTTGTGCCTAAAGTGGCAGTGGGCAACTTGAGCTGTCCGGATGTTTCTGCCCACAGCTCCCATCATCCCTCGTCATTGGCTCTGCTGGCCAGGGTTGTTGGGAGGTGCAGACCAAAGCATACAGAAGACCAGAAGTTGCCCATTACTGGCTTGATTAGATTCAAGGGCTCCAGGCCGTCCCAGATGACTTTAATGTGATATGTAATGGCTCTTAGAGCAATGCCAGTTTGTCACAACCTCTTTTCCCTTCCACTGGACAGAATATTTCCTTCAGCATCCAATGCAGATGCTACGATCCTCCTACATTTTCCTGTTCCAGTTCCCAGTGCTGCCAGAGTTCCTGCTGTCCTTGAATGACTTCCATGTAAGTGGGGCAAAGGTTGCAGAGTGAGCCTGCCCTTTCCTGGCCGGCCTCACTGGGAGTGGAAGCCACTATGGATATGCCCCTTTTGGGGGTGGGTGGAAGGAGGGGACGTCCCTCTGCTAAGCACAGTTTTCCGATTTGCCCTGTGGGGACAGTCTGTTCCCTTCCCTGAAACCAGAGCTACAAAGCTTGGCAGCATGTCTGTATGCCATGTCACAACCTGCCAGTCTGGGTTAAAGGCCAAGTTCAGATTCAGTGAGTTCTCTCTCTCATTGTTTAGCTAACTCCATTGTTGTGTTTCTGTTATACAGTTTGTACAGTTATTATGAATAGCCTTTGGCTGGCAAATAAAAGACCAGGACCAGATCCTGGATACAGGATTATGAGCTGAGTGCTCTACATTTGTTAGGCAGTTGAAAATCTTCTCTATTTTGGGCTTCTGAATTTGGGGAAGTCACAGGTGTGAGGGATTGGTGCTAAACAAGGTGAGATGCTGCGTCATTGAGAAATGACATTCTTGGATGGGGGTGTGGGAGCTATAATTGCTGTACCAAGCTTTGAGAAGAGGGAGGGATTTCCATGGCAAATGAGGTGTATTCTTCAACTGTTTTGATGCTGCCGGGAACTCTTGGTGCACCACTGCAGATGTTTTGAGCAATATTTCCCAGCATCCCTGAGCATAAACCATGCTAGCTGGGGCTGAAGGGACCTGAAAGGCACAGCATCTGGAAGGCACCATATGGGGAAAGACTGCTCAGGTGGCAGGAGAGATGGTATTACAGAGGACATCCACATGGTGCTGTGTCCTGCCCTACAGATAATAAAGAATTCCATGACCAGCAAAGAAACAGGAATCCAGAATCCAGCACACTATCTCACGGAGGACGAGTTGGAGGCTTATCTGTACAGCCTTGCAAAGCCTGGTGGCTTGACACCACCCTTGAATTACTATAGGAACATCTTCCGGTGAGAACTCAGCCTTCCCCACTCTCGTTCTGGGTGATGGTGCCTGCTGTCTTTTCTTCTGACTGGGTAGCAGAATTGGGCTATTGCCACATTCAGCTGTTTGCCATAGCGGTGGGGCAGGACTGCTCAAAGATGGTGACCTTCTGAGCCTGGGTTTTTGAGAGGGTTGGATTAGATGATTGTGGGAGCAGAGCACTCTTCCTCCCTTGATATGTTCATGTATGGAAGAGAGAAATCCCATGGCTATTCCAAAAGGGATTCCAAAAAATCGTAGTTCTTCATGAAATGGGGCCATACTGGGGAGTAGAAAGCAGGCTGAGGTGTGGGCTTGTTCCCGTTCCAGATCCCTCAGATTCCTCCTGTGCTTTTGGGCAGAAGACCCCTGGGGGGGTGGAGTGGGAGGCTGGCCTGGCTTGGATATGTTGGGAAAGTGGGGAGCTGTTGGATGCCCAGTGCCTACTTCATGTGCGCACGTGTGTGTGTGTGTCTATGCAGCTGGGTTCCTCTGCACAAGGATATACTGATGCCCACCCTGGTGATCTGGGGGGAGAAGGACACATTCCTGGAGAAGGGCATGATCCAAACTTTGATGCAGAACATACGGAAGAGCATCCAGGTGCACCTTCTGCCTGAAGCTAGCCACTTTGTTGCTGAGGATGAACCTGAAAAAGTCAATCAATTTATCTGGAATTTCCTCCTGGGAAGAGAATGTGAAGGAAAGACGGAGTAACTGTTTGGTGTGCTAAAGCCCTCCCTGCAACAGCAGCAGCTTGGATTAACTCTGGAGAGTGTGGCCTTCCCTGTCTTGTTTGGGATATTTCTGCAGCTGCTTGCATTCCAAGCCTCGTATAACATGGGCTTGCAGTAAAAACAGTCAACAGTTTAGAGCACCTGGTGTGGGACTCCCGTGTGGCCATAAACTGCAAGGTGTCGTGTCCGGCCAAAGACCCTACGCCTCGCTTCCCCGGTGGCATCGGCCATCGAGACCCATGGCAGGGCCATGGGTCTGTATCCTGTATTCCTGTGTGTGCCTTGGCATAGGCAGATGGCGCTGAGCCCCATGTCCACCGTTCCTTCCTCGCATTCGTGTTTGCTGGCTTCTTGGGGCCTTGGCAAATTGCATGATATGATCTATAAAAGGCGGGGGAGGAGCTGCTGCTTTTGATCATGTTTAAATCATTACAAGATATGTAATGATTATTATGAGCTATTAACATACCAGGAGGAAGTTCCCTCCTAATACTGCATGTACCTGGAAGCGTGACTGTACCTACAAAAATCCTGCTCCTGCCTGGAGCAGAGCGAATGAATTCTTCCGAGGAGAGGAGAGGGGGCCAGGATTGCCCTCGTTGCGGGCAGGTTGTCCTGTGTGTGTGGTGGGCTGAAGCAAAGCAGTGTGCCACTCATGCAGGAATGCCTCCTAGCAGAACCTCACTTCCTTCAGGAAAGTCAGTTGGCGTTGGGGAAGAATTGTTGCACATTCTTAGCACTAGGAGAAGACTGGCTGGGGGCAGTGTTGCTAAAAGGGGAAAGATGCAATAAATCAGGGCCTGAAGATGGGGTGCCTTTTTTTTTTTAGGGTGGCAGGCATATTTTTTACTCGTCTATAGCTGGTGGCTTACATATCTCTGATTTAAGTAAACTTGCCTTCTCACTCATGGCTCAGATCTGTTGTGCTTTCAGAATTCCACAAGGGGGAGACGTTGCAGCACTTTCCTGCTCGGGCCTCGCTATACATAAAAGTGTGTTCTGGTCTATCAGACACTGTCTTCCCCCAACCTGGTGCCCTCGAGATGTGTGGGGCTACAACTCCCGCCATGCCTGCCCTGCTTGGATTTGCAGCCTATGACATCTGAAGGGCTTAAAAGAAGCACCACACTAAAAAGCAAGAAAGGGGGAGGAAAAAGGTTCTGAATTCAAGATGATTTGAACTACTCTTGAAAATCCAACTTTGAGCTTTTGGGGGCAGATTATTTTCTCCCAGAACACTTCCATATAAAAAGTGGTACTCTGTATCTAAAACAGTTCAAAGACTGGCTAAGCACTCAAGTAAATACAAAGCTCTTCAGATTTAATTAAAGTACTTGTGGTGGATTCCTGGAATAGAGAACACGAGTCCTTTGCTTATCCCTGAGGACTGGCCCGTCACCCAGGTATACCTGGGCACAAGGCTGCTGCAGCCCTTCCTGTCCTAATTCTTGCTGCTTTGATCGCCCTTCTTCTCTCAGTTCACTGCATCCAGCATTTAAAAGCAAGAGCATGCAAGCCCTTGCGTGCTTTAACTTCCTTTGCTTGAACCATGAGTTCTCTGGAAGAGGCCACAGCAGGCCGAGAGGAAGCTTGGGAAATGCACATCCTGGATCCTTCTATGGGAACTGAGCAAACTGTGAGCACTTTTCTCTCCCAGTGACAGCCATTTTCCAGGCTTTTGTGACTTATGAGCTTATTGATCATGAGTCTGCTTAAAAAAAGGAACCTGCTGAGAGGCCGCCAAGCTTGTGAAGTCAGTTGCTGCCACCACCACTACCCACATGCAAATAGCTTGTATATTTGAAATATTTTTAAAATTGTATTTTGCTCTGATGTGCAGGTTTTGAGTTACCCACTCAAATAATGCAAATCCACCCTTCTAAAGTTATAGTCACTTCACAATTTCAGGTGTATCTGATGCCACCTGCCTTTTAACTTGATGTGGGCCATTGGCTTAGAACTTTGAGCAAATTTTTTGGGTGGAGGGGTGCATCACTGGGAAGAGCCAGCCATTCCCTTTCCACCGGTTGACGTTGCCCTGACAATCTGCCCCTCCCGCATTGCGATTAGGCTTGTTTAAAACCAGCCCTGGCACCAAAGGAGTTTTTTTTTTTTAACTGGAGGAGTGATTTTTCAGGGGGGTTGACTGTGTTGGCCACGGGGGCCTGGCCCTCCCCATCCCAGGAGTGGCCCCTCGTGACTTCTGCAGAGATAGGAGATGAGGCATCCCCATCTCGGAGGGAGAAGGGGCAGAAAAGCTTCTGGACCAGATGGAGATCCCTTGCGAGCCACATGGTACCCATCCCTTAACCAGTCTTGTGATCATTTTGAAAAAGGGCTCCTTGCGGTGGCCTCAGAATCATCGTGGCCTCTTGCAACACAACGGAGGGCTCTTTTGTCAGCAGCCCCGACCAGGAGGGCCCATCGCTTGGTGCTTCATCAAGGTCAATCTGTAGCAACTCCTCTAGGACTAGACTGAAACCTGCTGGGAGCCCAGAAGTGCTAGTCACTTCTGGCAGCCCCAGGCTAGATGCCCGCCTGGTCTGGCTGGGCATAAGGCAGCCTCCGGTTTCCTCTTTATTTACAGAAATCCCAAGGGAAACTGGGGAAACTCCTGATCTGGCCTGAAAATCAGATGGGCAACAGAGGGTCTGGATTCCACTCCTGATCAGTAGTTGGCACCAGCCAAACTCACATTTCTGGCCATCTCTTTGGCCCAGAATTGGCACCTGTTCTGTTGACAGCTGTGATGGCTCCGGGAACTGCACCTGTAACGCTTTCTTGCCTGTGGGCTCCTCTGGCAGGGGATTTGCACCCAGTCTCTCTTGCCCACTCCCTTGGTAGCTGGCAAGCCCCGTTCTCTTTCTGTGGGCTGTTAAACATCAGCCTTTGACACAAAAAATGTCATGGGTGTGAAATGGGGGTGTCAGAATAGCAAAGAGTACCGAAGCAGAACTGCCAGCCTGATCCTGGAGCAGAAGCAGCCTCGGCCCAGCAGAAGTGGCACTCGACGCACCGGCTGCCTCTGCAGAATGGCAGCAGGGGCTGCATATTGCTCCCCCCCACAGAACTGGAGCCTGTTCCTGACTCTACCAGCAGAAGGGCAAGAAGTGCATCTCTCTATTTCCTGACACACCTTCTGCTGGGGAAGGAGTCTCTCTCTCCAGGAGCCTCTCTCTCCAGGCATGAAATGGGAGACCTGGGAAGACCCTCAGGAGGACTCTAAAGCAGTGCTAGGGTGGATGAGAGAAGTGCCTGATGGACAACCACAGGCAGCTCCCTGTCAGGGCCGGCCCCACCAATGCAGAGAGGCTGTCGCGTCAAGTGGCAATTCCTGGGAGGTGGCAGCAAAGTGTGGGAGGAGGAAGCTCCAGGCTACACATCCTCTAAGCTGGGCTGTGGCAAGGCGGTACGTGTTGTCGAGTTGCCTCTGAGGAGCAGCGACTCTGCAAAGGGATGCCACCCAAAATACCCTCTCCTTGGTAGTCCTGCTCAGCTCTTCGAAAGAGAAGGCTGTGGTTTCCTTCATGGAATGGATCCATCTCATAGCTGGACTCTCTCTTCTGCCTTAACGGCAAACATTTCTAGTCTGTGCCGTTGTTTTGTTTTCCATATTAGCAGTTTCTTGTTGGGATTCGGACCGATTCAGTCTCTGCAGACTGGAATGGTTCTGCTGGATCTCTGTCTGCTCCAGGTGCTTTATTCTTTCTGAGCGCTTTCAGAGCAACTTTCAGTTCACGTTCTAATATGGGAGGCTCTTCCTCATAGGATTCTTCTTTGAAGGGGTCTGTCGTCATCTCGTCTCTTCCGTATGGTTATTCTGTATATTCTTTCCACCCTTTCTTTGTTTTCTCCTGGTCTGATAGTATGTTCCCCTGCTTGTCTTTTAGCACAGCTAATCTAGGTTTCAGTTTTCCTTTGATTTCTTGGATATTCTGAAAGAGGCCTCTTGTTTTATCTCTTTTGTTGTTATCATCTATTTCTTTGCACTGGCCATTGTAATAATTCTTTTTTGCTTCTATATGGCAGTTGCTAAAGAGTTGGATTCAATATTCTGTCCCTATTTCTGTCACTTTTGCTTTTTGCCTGTCCTTAGCAATTGTTAGAGTTCCTTCCATCATCCATCTAGGTGGCGGCAGCGGCAGCAGCTACTGCTTTTTCTTCTTCTTGCAACAGAAATTTTGGTTTCAGTCTTTCCCAGGCACTCGCATGGGCACCCTTGGGCATGTGTGCCTGGCTGGGTGTGCTCCCTCCATCCCTGGCACTGGTGCCATGCTGCTGCCCCCCCCCCATGTTGTTTATTTTCTTATTTTTTTGAGGCCTTTATAAACGCTTCAGTTAGCAGCAGCTCTCAGAAAGGTGCGCAGAGGGGCATGTTCCAGACTGCAGTGGGCAGGCAGCCCGGACAGTGGGGCAAATCCTGCCGATGGGCAGGGGAAAGCATCAGGCACATGTGCAGCGGGGAGAGGGGAGAGGGGTGGGTGGGTGTATGGCAGTGCAGGAGGGCACTTGTGCATGGGCAGGGGGGGTGGCAGCAGTGGGGGCCCTGCGCTGCTCCTCTTGCCCTCCCTCTAGAGTAGACGGTGGCTCTGTGCAGCAACAGAAAGAAAGGGGGACTGTTGGCTGAGAACATACTCAGGGGAGCACGTGGGCCAGTGGGGGAGAGGAAGGCAGGGCAGGCAGGAGAGGTGCACCATGGGCCTGATATTCAGCCCCAGGGCTAATGGAGTGCATGCCACCATTTGGAGGTGCATGAAAGCTATTCATGAGTAGATAACCACATGACCGTGTGAAAATAGAAGGTGAGATACCATGCAGTGCAGTAACCACATGGCATTGTTTAGCAGTATGTGTGAATACACCCATTATATTCAAGGTCACCACCACAATCTGCTCCCGATCTTGTGTTGGCAGTGAGAATACAGCATCTTCATCTCTTCCTGCCAATTACGAAGTCTGTCTGTTTTCAGTATTGGCCGTCTGGGGATGTCTCTGTGTGCAGTCACCTAATTGGTTGCCTGAAGTATGTATGTATGATAAATAGATAGTTGGCTTCATAGTATTCTGTGAGCTGTTCTCAGCTTTGTTTCTGACCTCTAGGCCAAATTCTCCCACAACACAATATTCCGCTTTCTTACTTTTGCATTCCAGTCACCTGTGATTATCAGCATATCTTGTATTGGTGTGTTATCAGTTGCCTCTTGGATGCCTGCATGTTTTAAAAAATTGCTTCAGCATGTGTTGATGGAGCATAGATCTGAATGACGGTTATGCTGACAGGTTTTCTGATCATTTTTACTACTACGATTTGGCTAGACTTTGCATTATGGCCCCCTATTGCCTGTGCTACATCTTCACTCAACATTAGAGCCACTTGCCACTCACATTTCTTTGGAGTTTGCCATTTCCAGAGGAAAACACCTTGTGTTTGCTGGACTGAAAGTGTCTCATTCCAGTGTAGTCTAGTTTGCTCACGCCAAGTACTGCAGTGCTTCATCGTTCCAAATTTTGTTTTACAGTCTCCATTTTGTCTTGATTCATACTTTTCATGTTTCACGTTCCATGTTCCAGTTGTATGTGTTGTGCTGCTCTGGATTTTTCTTTTGCCTCTGCATGGCAGCCACTGGACTTCCTTTTGGCTTTGATCTTGCAGCATCGTTAGTGACAGCGCTGTTCACACTTGTGCTTTGTTCTTCCCCAGTAGCTGGCCGGGTGCCTTCCAACCTGGGAGTCTCATCTTCTGGCACTATCTCTTGTTTCATTTTGGATTGTTACATCATAGGGTTTTTAGGGTAAGAAGAGTCAGAAGTAGTTCATCACGGCTGTCTTCTGCTCAGTACTGACTAAAGTTACCTTAGGCACCTCTGCCTTCGTCTGCGAAAGATCCTCTGCCAGTGCGACCTT